CCAAGACAGAGCCTCTGTTTCGTGTGAGGCTTCTGTGTGGGAAGTTTGCCGGGCAAATATGGGCGATCAGAGCTGCAGTTACTTCAGCAGAGACTCGGATTAGGCACAGGTTGAAATCAGTGAGTTGAGCTCCAGAAGGTGTTTGTCTCCAGGGATCCAAGAGGTCTGAAGAGTGACAGTTTCATATAGTTTCCTGCAGGTTGCTCCCAAGTCTGCCCACCTTCTGGAAGAAGAGCTTGTTCGCTTTTAAATTGGATGGTTTTATGTTCAGAGGGTGTGAAGCAGAGTTGTTACAGAAGCATCAGGAAAAGAAATGAGTAGCAGATGGTTGTCTTACCATCTGTGTTTTGTTTGGTATGTCAACTCAAACATACTCTGGGTTAAACTCCCAGGGGAACAGCAAGATAGAAGCAGGACAATCATCAATAAACAAACCCACAACGTAATTGGAAGCTATTATTAATCTGCTTCTCAACATAATCGTTCTCATAATGAATAATGTATTTGGGAAGGGAAGCCTGCAGGATGTGAAAGTGGAATTTCTGAGAAGGGACGGGGAGGCCTGGACTCAGAGAGGCCACTTTGGGTTGTTTAACGTCTTCAAGGCCAACTGTCCTGGGATTGGCATGCATGAAGGAGGATCAGCGCACCTGGACCAGAGATGTTCCCAAAATATCTTCCTGGTCAACGATTGGACCCTGACTGCGTGGCTACTGGGGGGGGGGGCTTCAAGTGTGGGAAGGAGGGGCACCGAGCTGTGGAATGCCGACCCACCAAGCCCAACCTCAAAGCAGCAGCGACCCTGGGAGGAAGGCAGAGAGCCAGCTCCGAGGTCCCATGAAAAGGGGCGAAGGTCATTGAGTTCACCCCTCCTGATTATGAGGAGTTGGCAGGTCCGACCAGGCCTGGTACGAGTGAAACCGACTCCATGAGGGCCCCCTGGTAAGTCAAGGCATAATCCCTGTAACCAGGGGTTCCTGTGGAACCGGTGGTGCCCTTGCCAGGGACCCAGGGGAGGATGTGGGCTCTACTGGACTCGGGTTGCACCAGGTGTGTGGTTAGCCCTGAAGGGGACTGGGCCAACTCACCACGGACAAGTCGCCATGGCTAAGTCGCTGCTGGACAACTAGCCACAGCCAACTCAAAATGGGACAACTTGCTTCGGGACAATTTAACAATTCTATTTATTTAAAATAAATATATTTTTTAATTTTTTGCTTTTCAGATTTCATTCTGTCCCTCCTTTTGCATCCTTGATTCTATTCCATCATTTCTTTGATATTAGTGTAACTCTTGTCCTGCAGTGAGTTGTCCTAGACCCGCCTGGAGGTGGTGGAAAAGTTGGGATTCAGACTCAAGCAGCTGAAGGTGCCACCGCCTTTGGCCAGCTGGAGGGGACCGTAGCTGGAGGGAGGGGCTCATTTCATAGTGGAGCCAGTGGAAGCGAGAATGGGAAGGCAGAGAGAGGCCCTGAGTTTTAAGTCGAGCTGGGGATGGAGAGACCCCCTCCTGCTTGGCTCCAGAAATGGGACCCCTTTGTGAACTGGAGGAGGGGTCTCTTGAAAACCCGGCATAAGGTAGCCAAAGAAGGGGAGGAAAAGAAGGAACAGAGAGAGGATGTAAATTCCCAGAGTGAAATGCAGGCATTTTTCTCCCTCAAACTACAGCTCACATCAAAGAGCCCGTTCTTTGCAAGCCCCTCTGCAAGGAAAAGAGTCCCTGACTACAGAAGAAGCGCTGCCCAGCCTCGGCTTCAGAGAAATCATCCTTAGCTTCCCAATATGGATTTCAGGATAAATAAAGCTGCTACAGATGCAGAGGGTGTTATTGTGCAGAATGTGCAGGTCTCTGCAGAAGGTGTGCAGAAGAGTGCCTCCCTTTGGAAAACCAGCTGCCTCTGAAAAGGGGTTGACCAGTCTGGCCTTCTCTGTGGCCGGCATGAGGCTGGCAGCCCCTCGCAGTAGCCTGGACTCCATTTGGGTCCTTCAGCCAAAAGAGTTTCCTGTATGGCTTCGGCAGATGAAGGCCTGGCTTCGGTCTGGGGCAGCTGGCTGGCTGATTAAGCAGCTGTTCCCCACCAGGTTTATCTCCCCTTTGCACTCCCAGCCGCCTCTCTTATCAGGAGCCGGCAGCCTGACAGTCGGTGGGGAAGCACCCTCTGGGCACCAACTGCTCCCCCCTAAAGGGCTTCGTGGGCCCAGCCCCCTCCCAACCCAGAGTCACTCCGCAGGGCCCCAGGCTGGAGAGGAGGGGCCGCTTTGTAGTCCTTTGCCAACCCCTTTTCCTCCTTACTCCGGGTACTAAACTCTTTCAATCATCTGTTGAATGGTTCAATGCCTTCTTTTAGTGTGTTCCTTAGTTTTTAGCTGCTGCTTTTGTGGATTGTTGCTATTGCATCTGTTATCCTTTGGGGGTGTGAAATGTGTGTCCTTCCTCTGTCACCCAGTGTCATTCCCATTTCCTTAGAGGCTGGCTGGGAGGGAGGGGGGCTCACCGCCTCTTCCACCAGCATCCTAGTCTGGTGCTTCAGCCTGGAGGATTTCCTGAGGTCAACCCTTCCACCTCTGGTATTTTCCCACACTGGGGGCTGCCAGTGGATCGCAAGTTCATTGGTCCAAAGCTGGCCTTGACCTGGGCGTTCTTCGGCATGAAGGCAAGTTCTCCTTCCCAGTTGGGAGAGCAGCTCTGTGGCGAGCCAGGGGGGGGGGGCTGGAAGAGAAAATGCTGGGGAGGAAGGAACACGGTGGAGGAGCTGCCTCCCTTCTCCACTGCTCAGAAGCATGAGGGGTGGTCTGAGTGACCATAATGGGGGGGGGCTGCAGTCCTTCTTGCCTTTGGTCCTTCAAGCCCCCCCCTCCTGCATCCAGTTATCTTGCCAGGGCTGGGCAGCCGGAGAGGAGCCAGGGAGGGCTGCTGCTTCCGAAGGACCTGGGTTTTTTGGATCCCCGGTTTGTCAGACTCTTCCAGGACTTTGTTTAAAGAAACACAAGTCTATTTTTAACTGTGGGTTTCTGCTTGCGTGGAACGCAATGCCAGGGCAGCCTGGGCATCTCTTCTTGCCAGAGGGGCTCTCCATGGGGAACGTCGCCCCCTGGACAGGCGTTGAGCAGCCATTTCTTGGTTTCCCAAACGGGCCCCTCACCCTCTCCTTGCTCCAGGCACTGTCCAGGAGAGCTCAACACTATTAGCCTTAGTTAGCATGGCCGGGGATTATGGGAACTGTGGTGCAATACAAGGCAACCTGTATCCCAGGTTTCAACCTCAGTGGTGCCCATTCCTCATCCGGGACAGTAGGATTTCCATTTGCGCCACTCCAAGCCAGAGTTTAGTTTGTGTGGCCCACAAACCACGGGCAGCCTGCCAAGCCCCCGTGTCCGCCTGCATTTCTTGAAAGCCCAATCAATCCACCAAGGCTGCCTTGACAGGCCCGGTGCCAAGAGCCTCCCAAGCCTCCAGGCTTCACTGGCACCGGCTCCATGACGGCCACCATCCACACACAGCTGATAGCCGTGCCCGCTAGTCCTTGGCAGCTCACAATTATTTCTAACTTATCAGCGTGGCCTTTCCTCTCTGAGCAGTGAAGGCCCGGTCTATGGGGACATTTTCGATTAAAATAGCATAATTGGCACCTTTCATTGTTTAAAGTCTGTTTTATGCTTTTGTAAAAAAAAGTATAGTACTTAGTCAGGAACAAAATTCAAGAGAAAGCAGAAAAGAATCAGGAGAAGGATCCTGACAGACAGCGGCAAGAAAAAGACTGGAAAGAGGGAGCTGTTATCTCAAGGGCCCTGAGAGACAACAATCCCCCATCCCATCCCATCCCATCCCAGCTGCAGAAGACTCTCCTTCGGTCTCCAAACGGCCAGCTACTCTTACAGCTGCTCCTTCCTGTCAGCCCCATCCCCGCTCTGCCCACTGGACTGGACCTAGGCAGCCATTTGCATCATATGACAGAGTCCCCCTGGGAAGGAAGCTTTGCTCTCCCTCGTGGGCCGCTTGAGCTGCCTCTGTGCCCCACCACCCCAGTGGAAGGAGAGTGGCTGAAAGCAACTAGGTTGCACTGAAGAATCCTCCTCTACTTGCGTTCTTACACTAACAACAGCATTTACACAATGATTGTCTGGTCTTCTAGCTAGGCAGCTGGATGGACTAAGTGACCACAACTGGTAGTCAGCCTTCCCCTCCCCCTCCTGCAGCCAAAGGTGCAGCTTCCTTGCCCTTTGATTCTCTAAGTGCATTTGGACTGTGGCAAAATGTGGCCCCCGAACTGGCACGATGGTGTGGGCTATTGCCCCTCTCCCATTCCCCGAGGCCCCTTAAGCATCCACTGTGGCTTTGGGGGACTCCTTGGCTTTCTGACCCTCGCCTGCAAAGAGTCCTGCCTGCTTCTGGGGCCTTCTGCCTTTCCTGGCAGACCTCTTCTCCCCCAACCCTTCAGAAGGGCTGAACGGACTCCTTGTTTCTTAATGCTGCAGTCTCGGAAGATTCAGCCCCAGCATAGCAACAGCCCCAGCATCCTCAGGACCCCTTTGAGGCTTCCAATGAAGCCTCCATGTTACCATAAAACCCAGGAACCCCAAGAGCAGACATGTCAAACAGAAGGCCCGGGGGCTGGATGCGGCCTGCAAAGTGGTTTCATGTGGCCCGTGAAGCCATGCTGGAAACAGTGAGGGAACAGCCCCCGCTGCCTTGGCCCTGGCCCAGGCCGGCCGGGAGCCAATGTACAATTTTGTGGTGGCCATCTATGCTGAAGCACATTCAGTCTTAGCTCCACAAGGCCATCTAGCAACAGCCCCTGCTGTGTCGGCCCCGCCCACCTGGGTGCATGCTGGGGAGGTGTCACCCTTTGTGAGGAATGAAGAAGTGGGCCATGCCTTGGCACTTGCCCCGGTCCCACCCCCTTCTGCCAGAGACCCTCAGATCTGTCCCACTCCTGCCAAGGCCCCCACAGGGAACCTTGACGTGAACAATGTAGAGCATGCCCACCCAGTAGGCCACACCCACTCCATCCACGCCCACCCAGTAGGCCGCACCCACCGTGGCCACACCCACCCAGGCCCCCAAGGGCAACCGCAATGCTGATGCGACCCTCAATGAAACTGAGTTTGACACCCCTGCCCAAGAGGCTCCTGGCTAAGCGGTTCCATTTTTCTGGAGCTCTCCATTTTTGCAGGAAAGTACAAGGTGCCCATTCACTTCTCCAGCTAGTCCATTTTGGTTTGGGGTCCATTCCATGCAGATGCTCTCCCCCCCAGAACCACCCCCATGGATGCCCCTGAAGTCTCTGCCGCAGTAGAACTCGAGGGAATATTTGCTGATCTGCACGGTGGTGTTTTCAGTCTCCCCGTCGTGAGGAGAAGTCCTCTGGCTGGCAATGGCAGATTTGAAGCCTTGCTTCCTGCACAGGATGTGCTGCTGGATGATTTTCCTGAAGGTGCAGCGGAACTCTCGGATCTGGTACGCGTAGATCAGGGGGTTCACCACGGAGTTGGCATGGGACAAGATAATGGCCAGGTACATGACCCCGGGGGGAGGCTCTCTGCAAGTAGGGCAGAAGAGGGTGAAGCAATTGATCAGGTGTAATGGGAGCCAGCATATAGCAAACATCCCAACAATGAAGGCCAAGGATTTTGCTGCATGGACTTCTTTTTGTAAAATGTATCGGGATCGTTCCCCGTGCATCATCTTGTTTTCCATTTGCTTGAGCTGCTGCCGGGCTGTCATGAAGATCTTCAAGTAGATCCCAAACATCAGAAGGAGAGGAAGCAGCACACATGCAAAGAAGTTGTAGTAGACCATGTAATCCATGGTGACCACAGTTGCAAAGAAGCAATGCATCATATTGCTACTGCAGTTGGTTCTATTTTCACTTTGCCCGTTCTCTTCCAGAGTCTTTCTGTGCCAGCCCAGCATTGGCGTCAGGCCAATAATAAAGGATAAGAACCAACAGATGGCTATGACTCCCTTGGCACGTGAGTTGGTCACTAGAGCATTGTACCTGAAAGAAGAGCAGAGAAAGGCAATGCATGAAATCCGATCTACATGGGAAGAGAGCAGAACTGATCAATTGATAGAATCTGTCCAGCTTCTTGCTGCAAACCACTCCACTGCAACAGGAGAGAGCTGGGATCAGGGGCTGTGGAACGTGGCCAGCAATGTGTGGATTGACTAACATTGGGACTCAATCCACCTCCTCAGCAGATCTCAAGCCATGACCGGCATTGCCCTCAGTTCCAACTAGATCCTTCTTTTGAGGTAGATGAGAACTGAACCCCATACTTGATAACCTGGTTTTTTTTAAAGGCTTTGTTAAATTCATTCTAAAAGGATCCTCTATGAACAGGAAGCCTAGGATTTGTGTTTCTATCCATGCTGTAAATAATCTGGGGGTTTGTTCACTGTGGAGTTCCTCAACGAACTCTGGAAACTTAATCTTGGAATAGCAAGGATGTCTGTTCTGGCCCCATTCACACGGCTACAGTTCCCAACCATGAAGGTGAAGACATTTTAAGGTGGTGGGAATCACCTTCTGGTATCACCAGGACTCGGCACAGCCAGAATCCCTTCCCAGCTGTAAGGAGTGGAGGGCCTGGGGGCAAGATCCATGCCCACCCCCACAACACTATCAGTCGAGAGTGGAGGGGAAAACCCAAAATTGCCTCATAGAGTCATCTTTGGCCAGTGCGCACTCAGACCCAAATACAACCAAGTGAGCCAATAGCTGAAATCATGTTTCATGTGGCATCTGTTGTAATGAAGACAAGGATCATATAAATTGATGGTTGGCATAAAATTGGGTAATATCAATTCCTGGAACCAATGACATGAGGACCTTTATTCTGCCCATTCTGATATTTTTTTTTCCTTTACAAAGAGATTTCTGATCAATATTGGAAATTCCTGGAACTCATTGGCACTCCACAGAAGGGCCTTGAGATCAGCAGTGATGGGGTTGATGGAGCCTGAAGATTGCCTGCTCCAGAGGTCGGGGGAGGGGCTCTCCTGGGCATCAACAAGGGAAGGGGCCTTTGCCCCAAAAGACAGCTTACAAATCATATAAATTATTTTTAAAAATTAAGAATGAATGAGTGTCCTGGTTTTATTTTGAGAAGCGCTGGGAATAGCTGTGCCAAGAGTGGCCGCTGCCAGGAGGGGGATCCCCGATCCGTTTGTGGGAGGCCCTGCCTGCTCCCTGTCAAGCTCCATCCATGGCGAACAAAGAGCAGAAGCCTAACAAGGGCTGAGAAGAGACAAGGAGCCTCTTCTGGGGAATCTTCAGACGTACAATCTGTGACTTAATTTATGCTTATTTTTCCAGATAAACAATGTCTGAATTCTCTAATCAAGGCACTGGAAAGGAAAGCTATTTTGCTTTCCATCTTTGTCCAGGTCTTGCCTTTAGGCCTGGCTTCTGGGTGGTCAAGCTCAGATTATTGGTCACATGACTTCTGTCCCGTTCCACTTCCCAAGGCTGGAGGCTGGTTGGCCACAGGCAGCCCCCCACATCTTCTCAAATTGAGGGGGGCAAACTGAGTATCTCAACACTTGGAGGGGCTATGAAAGATCCAGCAAATGTTTGCCAAAGACATTGCTTTTAAAAAAACAAAACAAGCGTTTCCAGAAAAGTGCGTTTTACAGATCCAATCTTGATGTTGGATATAAAATTAATAATGTTCACCATCTTATGTGCTACTGATGAACACTGAGTGTGGCTGTCTGGTGCACCTGCAAAATTTATTAAGCATTCCTGTGTTTCTTCATCCAAATCATTATTATAAAATCCTAAAATACAAAGTTTCCAGGTTCGATCCTTGCACCTCACTCAGATTTGATTCTCCGGTCAATTTTTAGCCAATTATATATCAACTTAATTTTCATCCCATCCAACTTTGTTGTTTTTAATGTTTTAATTGGTTGAGTTTTATAGTTTTTAAAATTATTTTATGTTATTTAACTTTTGATTAGGAGCAGCCCAGAGTTGGTTGAATGTAAATGTTTTAAAATGAATAAACTCACACTTAACTAATCTGCCAATCAGAACGTCCTGGACTAGCTTTCCGATGCTCTACCTCAATCAAAACAGATGAAATCTGCAGTGTTTCATCTTATAGGTCAGTCTCCTAATCTGCTTCAAGGATCTCCCCAAATACTGATGTCAGATTGGTAGTTCCCCGTAGATTCCTTTCCCTTCTTTTGAAGAAAGGACATTTGCTCTCTGTCACTTTCCTAATTTCTCCAGGTTTTCCCAAAGAGAAAGCTTCTCCCAGCTCATATGCCAGTTTGCTCTTTGTGGACTGAAACTCAGATATTCCCCACCTCAAGCTTCAATTCCACCCCTTTGTCCTGTTTTCCCATTTCCTAATGGAAAGCACTTCTTGTTGCAGAAAACTGGGGCAAAAAGGATTTGGCTATCTCTCTCTCTCTCTTTTTTTTTTTTTTTGGTCGTTGTTAGCTCATAACATTTCATTGTTCCCATTAAGCAGCAAATATTTTGATTCTTTTAATTTACACACATCTAAAAAAAGTCTTTTGCTGTTCTAAAAGTCTTTCTCCAACCTACATAGAGTGTCTTGCTGCTGAACAGCTCCAGAAATTCTTGAATAAACAATTTTCTAGATTCAGTTTCATGGAACTGGAACCGGGGGCCCATGTCCTTTAGCCTCTGGGGCAGCTGATTCAGGGACAAGGGTTGAGATGTCACAACATACAAAGAACCTCTGCCATCTCTCTCTTTTCAGCAGATGGAGGTAATACCGCTGAGTCCCTAAAGGCTGTGAATGAGGCAATGGCTAATAAACAGAGGTCCTGTCGTGGGTGACTTCTGTGTCTGCAAAGAAGCGCTCTGCCTGTTTGAGGCCAGCAGGAGCCCATTCTGCTGCACATGGCAATCACAAGCACCCGGGGTGGGCACAGGCCCTGCTAAACCACAACCTTGAATTCTGCAGAGAAGGCCCTCATAGTGGTGCAGTAGTCAATATCTGAGGGGCTGCCACAAAGAAGGGGGGATCAACCTATTCTCCAAATCACCAGAAGGTAAGGGAAGAAGCAGTGGATAGAAGCTAATCAAGGAGAGAAGTGACCTGGAATTAAGGAGAAACTTACTAACAGTGAGGACAATTAACCAGTGGAAGGGCTTGCTTTCAGAAATCATGGATGCTCCATCCCTGGATGCTTTTAAGAGATTGAACAGCCACCTGTCTGAAATAGTATAGGGTCTCCTGCTTGAGCAGGGGGTTGGACTAGAACACCTCCAAGGTCCCTTCCAACTCTGTTATTTAGTTCTGCATCTTTGGCGTATTTACCTGAGAGGCATACGGATAGCAATAATCCGATCAATGGCAATAGCCAGAAGACTGAAGATGGAGCTCTGGGTCAGCACCAGGACAAAGCAGGCGATGAAGAGGCAGCCGTAAAAGAAGGCACAGAAGCCAGTGCTGATCGTGATGGCAAAGGGGATGGCCAGGACCCCCACCGCGATGTCAGCTACCGCCAGGGAAGCCACAAAGTAATTGGTGACATTCTGCAGATTGCTGTTGAGATAGACGGCCCAACAGACCAGGACGTTCCCAAAGATGGCCAGAAGGGCAATGACCAGTTCAAAGACAATGTAGATGATGTTGGTAAGGAAGCTCTTGTCCCCAGACACGAGCATGGTGAGGACCTGGGAACCCTCGTGTCCATAGCTGCAGGCCTCTCCAGGCTGCGATGGCAGAGAGGGCGGGCCGGCCTTCAGGAGGCCAAGGCTTGGCCAAGCTCCAGGCAGTGCAGAAAACAGAGCCGAGTCATTCTCCAGATGGCCGCCAAACGCCGGTTTCTGTGCAAAAGTCCCTGGGCGATTCTTTGCCTTTGCTGCAGGCCTCCCGGCAGAGACAGCAGCTCTTCACTTCTCCTCCCAGAGAACCACTTTTGGAGAGGGTGCAGAGGACATTCCGTGGGACATTCTGTGGGGGGGGGGAAGAGGAGAAGAGAGAAAAAGATGCTGAGAACATCCAGATGCAAGGCAAGAGACCTCCTTCAACGGAGCAGCCTCCACTCAGGCCACCCCTGAGCTTCCAGAGTGGTAAAGCTTGTTGTTTATTCTTTAGTACAGAGGCTCCCAACCTTTTGGGCACCAGGGACCGGTTCCACGGAGAAAGGTTTTTCCATGGACCGGAGAGTCCGGTTTTGTGCGCTGTCTGCATCTTGCAGATGGAGCTTTGCTTGTTTGTGCGGCCCGGTTGCTAGCATGCTGCGGCCCGGTACATCCAAGACCGGGGATTGGGGACCCCTGCTTTAATATATTCATTCAGGAGTTCAAGTGGTTCCCTGGACCCTTATTCCTCACACCACCACTTTGTGAGGAAAGTGGGGAGGAGAGGAGGGTCTCCCATTCCTAGACCAGCACCCATATGGCTGTACTTTTCCAAGCCTTGGGCCTCAAAGGAGGGGAGGGTCGACCTCCCCATCACCTTGCTCTAGATCCGTGATTCTTAAACTGTCTGACTCAACTATCCTCTCCCCCCCCCCAACTCTCATTACCCCTAGAAAAACCCAGACTGTTATGTTGCGTAAGTGTCATGGTGGAGGCAGTACTTTCAATCAGGATCCTCAGACAGCGATGGCAAATTGCTCCCTTCCCCCAGAGGATGCCCCAACGTCTTAGGGGTGACCTCCCCCAGTTTAAGAAGCGCTGCTCTGTGGGGTGATAAATGTGAGGCTTGCTACAAAGCCACCTGATAGCCCCCGAATCATTTTTGCTACAAAGCCACCTGAAAGCCTCTCGAATCAACACAAAATAAAAAAAGCAACAGTAAAGCTGCACCTCAAAACTTCGTCTGGAAACATCTCCACTGGTTTAGGAAAGTCTCCTCAATCGCTTGGGGTGGCTGTGATTCCTTCAGAAGGGACCAGTGGACTAAGATTTGGCCAGACCTCCCTGTAGCCAAATTTGTTAGCGTCTACAGTATAGCACACTTGCAAAGTTGGCTTGGGGAGACTTCTGGAGCTGCCCTTCCATCAGAAGACCCGTACTTTAAAAAACACATTGTGCACACTGAACATGTGTTTTATACACATAATTTATGCATATTTACTCTATCAAGTTTTTAATTTGCCTAATTTATTTTTACAGGAAATGGCTAGAATTTTTGCTGAATCCCAGTCCAAGTCTGAGAATCTTATCCAGGCACACACAAGACCTAGAAGCTTGCTCTTTTGAAAACAAACACAGAGTTGCCCAGGAATCTGGATCTTGCACCCAGGACCAATTTCTTCCTGGCTGGGGAAGAATCCCATCAGCTTCAAATCCCTGTTCCAGAGACATGTAACTCTCCCTGTTCAAGTCCTTTTTCTTCTGGAGTTATTTATAAAAAGGAAGACATGAGAGAAGGACCTAAAACTGAAAAGCAATTTTCAAGTTGTCTCCCCGCAGACACCACCCCCCTCCGCCAGCAGCCCTTCTTAAAGCCCATTCCTGATGTAGCCAGCATTTGGCCAGAGTCAAAAGCCACCCTGGAAGACTGTCTCATTCCTCGTGGTCAGCTCAGCCTTCCTCATCCTGGACAGTGCTGGGGAAAGTCAGAGGAGGAGCGTGCTCTGGAGAAGTAAGCTATTCAATCTGATGAACGAGCAACTGAAGTATTATGGTTGAGACTACTTTATTATCTGGTGATCAACAGAAGCCTCAGAAGTCATTTCTATTTTTGGCTGCAGATGTAATAAAACAATAAAGATGGATATTCTCCATGAGAAGATTAGAGGACACCTCCTATAGCAGTTGCATTCTTCACTGATTGTCTGTCCACAAGGAGTCTAAATGTGGTTTTGTGGTGGCACAGTATGGAGTAGCAACCACGGTCTCATGGCCGGAGATTGCTGGACTTCCCATGCTCCTTGTTCTTGGGTGATTTCAACAGGAGGAGGAGGAGGATGTGGACCAAAAGACAATGTGATAGACCAGACCTTGGAAGGAGGAAGCTCTGTTCACAGGCTTACACTCATTTGCTCCAAGCAAAAATGTACTATGTGGAAGGGATTGCATCTTAATCCACAGAGGAGCTTATTTTGACTGGAAGTAGCCTAAGTGGGCCAAGGCCTCTTCTCAACTGTTCATCACCATCTGAAGAAGCTGTGCCATTGCTGAGTAGCTTTCACCATTCTGGACCTTTTCTTGGTGGGCAACCAAAACCTGCTTCCTTCCAGATGGCTTCAGGAGGAGGAGGAGGAGGAGGAGGAGGAGGAGGAGGAGGAGATCTTATGAAAGTATCTAATGTAAATCTCTTCTCATTGATCCCTTTTGGGAGAGGAAGAGATTGATTTCCTGTCAGTCATTTTACCCAATGTAAAAGTCATTTGGAAGATAAGCTGGATGTCAACCTCAGGGAGTGATTTCTATATTGTCAGATGGACAATTTCATGTCACGCTCACATTGGGGGAAACTAGACAACTAGGGAGTCACCTCATTTGTTTGTGGTGGGTGTTGCATCACATCAATATGTCAACCCCTGCCTCCCTGGCAAGAGACAGCGAACACCTTCCTCCACGGTGCTGTTTCCCCTCAGCAATGGGCTCTGGGCAACGCAGGCAAAGACGGTGCCAAGAGGTGCTGGAAAGAGCAGCCCTTGGGCTCCTGCAGCCCGAGGCTTAGAAGGGCTGGGAAGTAGGGTCCTAAGAAGAACCCTTTGGACAGTATCGCTGGCCTTTAAATTAGCATTTCTTGACCCTGGCAGTTTTAAGATACCTGGACTTCAATTTCCAGAGTTCCCCAGTCACCGTGCTGTTTGGGGAATTGTGGAAGTTGGAGTCCACACATCTTAATGTTGCTTAATTTAAAGGCCAGTCATATTGTCCTAAGTATTCTTTTCGGTCCCCACAGGAGGCTGTGAAGCCAAAAATGCCATGATGGGGTATCAAAAAGGCAATACTAAGATACAAGTGACGATATTATCATTGCAGCCCAGCTCTGCAAACACACTTCAGAATTGAAAACTAAATATCCTCAGGAGAAATCTTGTGACATCCCACAGCAATATGCTTATGAGCTTATGCACTGAAGACAAATTCCTTGTGTGTCCCATCACACTTGGTCAATAAAGAATTCAATTCAATTCAATTCTCTTCTATTCTGCCATTTATGGAATATGATTCCATCCGTTGGAGATGCTGCTATAATTGGATTCCTACTTGGACTATCGTAACTTCTCTTAGGCACCCAGTTTCACTTAATACAAGTGAAGGAGTCATAGTGTTAGACACAACTAGAGGTTTTCCTGCTAGTATATCTGGCTGCTTGTGTAGCAGTTGATGCACCTAGAACAACAGCTCCATTCTTATGCTGTTTCTGCCATCACAGCCCAAACTCTCTCAAGCTCCCTTGATGACTACTACTAGGTTTATGATGGCGCTTAGTGACTATTAGTAATGACCTGCCCTCAGAGTCCAAGTTGTCACAGAGTGTCACAGTCACATTACTATGATTTCCAATATTCCCTGCCAGTAAAGTCAGTGGGGAGGCCGTCAGGAAGTCAGCACCATCACATAAGGTCCTCCAAACAGCAATGCCAGGATTGCCATCGTTAAGTGACACGGGGTCAAATGACAAGCACTTTACAACCGCATCACTTAGCAATGGCAATTCCAGTCCCAATTGCCCTCATTAACTACCTCTATGGCAGGCAACACCGATTTAGCTGAACCCCTAATTGCATCATGCTGCACAGGAGTGTTTCAAAGCTAGGTACCGGCTCGTCTCCATTGTCTCTTCTTGGATTAGAAGATCATTGGCAAGTAGACAGAATGGTTTTGGGAAAAAGAAGTTTACATCTTTAGCATCTGTATCTGTAAACAAATGATTACAGACACTTTCTCGTAAAATCTGCACAGCTGTTCAGCTCTCCTGCAACTTGAACCTTAATCTTCTAGGGGAGCCCCACCTCATTCTGGGAAGCACATCGGGGTAGTAGTGGCTGAAGGTAGCAAACTACAAACTAGGAATCCAAGTTCTCCAGAATTCAAGTCACTGGAGGACTTTGGACCTGTCCCTCTTGGCTCTCGAAGAGGCAAACCACTTCAAAATCCTTGCCAAGAACACTACAGGGGCTCATCCAGGCAGTATCAGGAATCAACGCTGATTCACAGATGCACACCTATACAGACGCACACACCGTTCTCCCACGCAGAAATCCAGATAGCCTCCCAGGTCCGACTTTGGAGGAGAGAAACTAACAGTCACAGTGCTCTGGTAGGGCAATCAAAAAATAGCCCTTCTGGGCCAAAGTGCTCAGTGTTTTGCGAGGGCCAGGAGGGTGGCGTGGCAAGCCAGGGTGGTAGTGACACAGCCACTTTATCATAGTGTTGGTGTGCTGATAAAAACAATAGTAATCATGGAAACAGAACATAAGCATTCTAATTTTCTTTGCCACTAATTGCATTTCTAATCTATCTTGGATATTTGGTTTGTTTCCGGTAATAAGAGGAAATTAAGTATTAATACGCAACAATTTCCCTTATGGTTGCTTGAAGGAGGCCTTGCACACGCACACACACACACACACGCACCCGAAGCTCTGCCGTGCTCCGCTCGCTGCCCAGGTGCCTGCCAGGGTCTCCTGGGGAAGATCTGTGCTTTGCCCAATGCAGAGGGTCTCCCTCTGGCCCTGGCACCAACAGACCCCGGGGGCCATACATCTTCATTTGCTACCCTCTCGTCCCTCGAGGGAGGCAGACTAAAGACTCCTTCTCAGCTCTGGCAGCTGGAAGACTTCAGCTCCCGTGGCTGGCGGTGGAACTCTGCCAGCTGAATTCTACCCCTCGTCCATTCTGAGACCAAGGCTGAGAAGTTTCCTCAGCTCTGCAAGTAGACCTCGACATATGGCCACAACTGGGACCAAAATTTCCATAGCTAAGCAAAGTGGCTTTTGAGTGAATCATGAGCTGTTAAATAAATCTGGCTTCTCCCACTGA